AAACACTTCTTTGTAAATTTATAACAGTTTGGCTTGCTTCATTCCCAAAGGTTGTATAAAAAATAAATCAATTTTTTTAGAAGCTCTAATTTTAAGCTAGTAATCTTGGTTCCATATGCAAGTCACAGGTTAGCTTGACATCAGATTTTGTAACAAAATATATATGATTAAAGCATAAGAGTGCGATAGTCAGAAAAGTAGTTTAAAACTGACAACTGTACATAATTTGTCACTCGCACAAGTAAAAGCTGAATTTCTAAATGGCATTCTATCGCTGTATGCAGGGGGAGAAAGAAGTAAAATTCATTCATTGGAAAATTTGTTGAAAAAAAGTTGTATAAACAGTTCAAATTTATAAATTCTGTGACCTTTAAATTGACTGGAAGAATTATTAGTGTTAAGGCATCATTGGTTACAATTGTTTTGATTTTGAACTAGTTAGGAACAAGTTGATCAATTTGTTCAAACTTTATTTTGTATACTACTAGAAGCAGCATGGACATAATCTCTAGTTTAATTTGCGATTCTGTGAAAATGCCAGATGGCATTGTTATTTCAGCTGTGCAGAATGGAAGTGAGCTATAGCAAGTGGTAACAATGGCCTATGCAGTGAATGAGTTAATGCTTGGAGTGTACAAGATACATTTCAGGATCTGACCAAAGACCCATGCAGCTTGTCAAAGAACTTCAGGTGGAATGTAAATAACCTTTTCAGCCCGCACAGGCTAAAATCTTTACATGTTCTCACTATATAAAGTACACAAAGCATTCCTATCAGCTTAAACAGTGCAGAAGTATTTATAATCAATTGAACTTCATCATGACACAACTTTTTGCATTTTAAATATTACAAAAAAAAATCAGAAATGGACTTTCTACTTGACGTGCTTGATAACCTGTCTCAAAGAATTATTATTTAATGTCAGCATCAAGCAATTCGTTTTGATAAATGTCTAACTCCAAGTTTAATAAAAGCAGTGTGTAAATGACCTGTTTGTGTATTGATTTTAAGAAATGTTTTAAGTTACAAGATGGTAGTAATAAAGTATTAGTGAAATTCAGTTGTGTTGCAGCAAAGTGTTTACATTATTGTTGATCATATCTTCATATGGCCTTATTGGACATTAATTTTAAAAATGAATGAGGAATTATAATTGATTGAAAGAAAGTAGGAATTTATATGACTTAATGTTAATCTACAATATTTGCATTCTGTTGAATTTCATTAAATTATAGATCTGTCCATGTCCATGTACTTAACCAGATTTTGCCATCCAAGGAAATAGTAACGACACAACCAAAAGAAGACAGAAAGAACCAAGTAATACACCGGTTTGTTCAATTAGGCAGTCATCTCATAATTCAGAGTCTGAATTGCATCAGTTTGCAACAGGATCCTTACAATTTAAGAGAATTTACATAAATGTTACATAACAGATAAAAGATTCTGCTGTAGCTAAATTTCCATTCAGAAACTAAGAAGCTAAAGTGTCATTTAATTTGGCTTTGTACCTTGATTTGAGAAACAACAGTCAGAAGGTTAGATTGTTGATCCAAATTTCACAGACCTATGGCCATCAATTAAATAGGGCATACAATTCTAAAGGCAATGCAGGAGCATCCAGTGTCTATCATTGAAGGTGGTAAGACAGGTGGCGAGCACAGTAAACAAAGCACACAGCATTCTTGGTATCGTGTGGTATATTGTATCCGCTGTTCCTGGTTGTGGCCTCCTCAACATCGGGGAAACCAAGCGGAGGCTTAGAGACCGCGTTGTGGAGCACCTACGCTCGGTTCGTGACAAACAACTACACCTCCCAGTTGCAAACCATTTCAACTCCCCCCTCCCACTCTTTGGGCAACACGTCCATCCTAGGCCGCCTCCAGTGCCACAACGATGCCACCTGAAGGTTGCAGGAACAACACCTCATATTTCGCTTGGGAACCCTGCAGCCCAATGGTCTCAATGTGGACTTCACAAGCTTCAATATCTCCCCACCCCCAACCTCAACCCAAGACCAGCCCAGTTCGTCCACGCCTCCTTGACCTGTCCTCCTTTTCTCCCACCTATCCGCTCCGCCTACCTCACTGACCAATCCCCACCCCTACTTCCTATCTACTAGCCTCATCCCTGCCTCCTTGACCTGTCCGTCTTCCCCCCCACCTCCCCCCCCCCCCCTCCCCCCAACTCCCTACCTACACTCACCTTTACTGGCTCCGTCCCCGTCTCCTTGACCTGTCCGTCTTCTCTCCACCTATCTGCTCCTCTATCCAGCTTCCATCATCGCCTCCCCCTCTCTCTGTTTATTTCAGAGTCCCCTTCCCCTCCCCCATTTCTGAAGAAGGGTCCAGACCCGAAACGTCAACTTTCCTGCTCCTCTGATGCTGCTTGGCCTGCTGTGTTCATCCATCTCTACCCCTTATTTAACACAGCATTCTTGGTTTTAATAATAGGGGCATAGAGTACAAGAGCAAGAAGGTGCTGTTGAATTTGTTTAAGGTACTTATTAGATCTCAGCTGAAGCATTGTGTACAGTTGTGGGAGCCATGTTATAGGAAAGGTATGAATGCATTGGAGAGTGTGAAGAATTGATTTACCAGAATGGTTCCAGGTAGGGGAAACTTCATCTATGAGGATAGATTGAAGAAGTTGAGACTGTTTTCCCTAAAGAGAGAAGGGCTGTGCAGCGATCTGACAGAAGTATTCAAAATCATGAGAGGGCTGGACAATGTCGCTAGGGCAGTAGGGTGTTTCAGCTTGCAAAAGAAATGAGAACAAAAGAGCATAGATTTAAAGTGATGTGCAAACGAAGCACGAGTAATGTGAGAAAAAAACTGTTCTCACAGTGGGTTGTTAGGCTATGAAGTGCATTGCCTAGAAGTGTGATGGAGGGAGGATCACTTGAGGGATTCAAGAGGGCATTGGATTTTACTTTTGGATAGTAATGGCATGAAAGAAAGTTGGTGAAAAGGTAGCAGATTAGTCTGGTTCTATTACCCGGTGCCAGATAATAAGGCCAGGGAATTTATTTTGGGCCAAATGGCCTCCTTCCTCACTGCAATAAATATTTATCCCAATTGGCTTCATCTTAGGATCTTGAAAGAAGTGGCAATTCAGATAGTTGATACATTGGTTCTAATTTTCCAAAATTTCTTAGATTTGTGGGAAGTTTCCTAAGTTTGGAATTAGTGAATGTAACTCCTTTTGAAAAAGGAATGAACACAGAAAGCAGGAAACTACAGGCTTGTTAGCTTAAAATCTGTCATAAGGGAAATGTTCAAAGCTAGTATTATAGACTTTATAGCTGGGCACTTAGACAAGTTCAAGGTAATCCAGCAGAGTCAACATGGTATTGTGAAAGAGAGATTGTGTTTAAAATTTGAAGAAGTAACTCACTATGGATAAAGGGGAACTAGTATCCTTAGATTTCCAGAAGGCATTTGATAAGGTCCTGCATGTATCTAAGGTTATTGCTGAAATTAAAAGCTCACAGGGTAGAGGGTAACATACTGATGACATGGATTGAAGACCAGCTCGCTATCAGAAAACAGTGAGCGTAAATTGGGTCCTTTTCTCATTGGCAAGCTGTAACAAGTGGTGTGCCACAGGGATCAGTGTAGGGGCTTTCACTTTTTACAATTTATATAAATAACTTGGATGAATTGATCAAAGGTATGGTTGTCACATTTGCTGGTGAAACCAAGTAGAAAAATAAGTTGAGAGGGGGACATGAGGCTCCAGAAGGATAGATAGGTGAGGTGTGAGTGAACAAAGATCTGGAGTATAATGTGCGATAATGTGAAATTGTCCATTTTGGCAGGTGGAATTTAAAAAAGCACATTACCTAAATAGTGAGAGATTGTGGAGCTCTGAGATGCAGAGAGATTCAGGTGTCTTGTGCATGAATCACACAAGGCTAGTACATAGGTACAGCGAGTAATTAGGAGGGGTAAGACCTACTACTTATTGCAAGTGGAATTTAGTACAAATGTAGGAAGACAGTGCTTCATCATAAAATGCATGTGAGAGACCACATCTGGAGTAACGTGTACAGTATTGGTCGTCTTCTGTAAAGAATGATGTCAATGTATTGGAAACAGTTCAGAGCAAATTTATGGCTGGTTTGTGATGCACAATGATGCCAACAGCATGGGTTCAATTCCTGCACAAACTGAGATTACCATGAAGGACTCTCCTTTTTAACCTCTCCCCTCACATGAGACATGGTGACTCTTGAGCTAAACTACCACCAGTTATGCCTCACTAATGAGAGAGCAGCCATGTGGTCCAGTTGCACGATGGCACCTTTACCTGACTGATATTTGAACTGAATGGGTTGTGTTATGTGGAAGGTTGGACAGGCTAGACTTGTGTTCCCTGGAGATTAGATGAGTAAGTGGCAACTTGATTGAAACATAAGAACTTGAAATGTCTGGACATATGGATGTGGAAAGGTTGTTTCCTCTTGCGGGAGAATCTAGAACTAGAGGTTATGGTTTTAAAATAAAGGGTTGCACATTAAAGACAGATGAAGAGGAATTATTTTCTCACAGGATCGAGTGTCTTCGGGACAGTCTTCCTCAAATTGTGATGGGAAGAGCCATTTTTTAAGGTGGAGGTAGACAGATTCTTGATTAACGAGAGAGTGAAGGGTTACTAGGGTAGGTGGGAATGCTGAGTAATCATATCAGTCTTGATCATATTGAATGACAGAGCAGGGTGGAGGGGGCTACTCATGTTCCTAATTGTACATTCTCTTGTATTTTAGTTGAAACAAGCAAGCTTTGACTTGTCCATTGTAGCAAGTATTAAGTTCAGAATAAACTTTACAGCATACTTAATGTAATTAAGGTGAGCATATTGTTTCTCAAAACTTAGTTGCAAGTCTGTGAGAAGCCAAAGTTCTTCAATTGTTGTTTCCTTCATTTATCAATATTTATTATTATTTATTAATGTTTTAGTAGAGAGTGGAGTAATTGTCAAACTTTTTATATTTCAGAAAGAGTTCGTGAGATTCAAGAAAAGTTAGAAGCATTCATTGAAGCGCTACATCAAGAAAAATAGCAATGTCTCTGTATGTATGTGTCTCATCAAATAAAATGGATTTAGCTTAAATTTATCAAACATTATTTACAGAAACATTTTAGGAGCTCCCCTGGTTTCTAAAGAAATACCCAAGTAGCTGAGCCTTGCTGACAAAAGAAGGCCCTATCTGGATCCCTACAGGATGGATGAGCACCACAATTGGGCTTGTATCATGACAAAATATTAATCATACTTTCTATTCCTAAGTACTATCTGCTGATCACTGTCAAAGTGCACAGACATGTTCACTGGATGAGCATCAGCTTGTTGGCCTGATTCTTCCCTTCACTTCTACCTCCCCAGGGACTCCTTCTATTTCCCATCAGAATTCTTCATGAGCCACTGCAGTGTTAACACACCCAGAAAAGGATGTTTGTGAGATCAACTGACAGGCGTACTTAGTGAGAAGAAAAATGGTTGAGAAAAACTTTGAGTTAAATGTGCTGTATATTTGCATTCAAATTACTGTATTAGACCTAATCCAGCTTTATTTAAGTAATTCACAAATGTATTAATTTCTTAGTGGTTTGGGTGAGCATGCTGTATTACAAGTATTTTCTAAACACCAACTTGTATAATGCATGCTCCAGATCAACCTTATAATCTGCATTTGTGACAAATTTGAGAATCCAAGAACAGCTGCTTACGATGGTCAGTTTTCCTTTAGGTGCCAATAGTAATGGTACAGAAGTCTCACATCTTGCCTGTTTTGAGACATTATGGTCTTAAAATGCAGCTAAAATGTATTGTGATTTACAACATTTTGGAAGTCTGTCAAGAGCTTTTACCCTAATGCCATGACTAACACAACTCCAATTGTACATGCGCAGGTGAATCATGGCAAATATCTTCAATGGCAGGACCTTACCTCCTGTATAGGGAACACGGTATTTAATGTTAGTGTCAGTGAGCTAAGGGTTTGGTACAATTTTAATTATAGCTATAATTAAGATAGACATGTTTCTCCTTCCTCCTATCTTCCCTTGTAGTTTTGATCAATTGTGTCTCCTCCTCCCTTCATGAAATGTTGTTTGACACTTTGTTGTTGCATGGGTGCCATACACCTGGCTCTTTGAACAAGTGATTGTTCTTTGTGAACTTAAACAGTGAGTGCGGCCAGGCTTTAATTGCAGGGGAACAATGCAGTTGAATTCCACGCTTTCAGTCGTGATCAAGAGTATAACCTAGCTAATTTTTCCCCTCCCATGAACCAGACCTTTGATCCCAATTGTGATAGCCAGGAGTAGTGATAAGGCTTAGATGAGCTAATTTAGAATGGACTGGGATCCAGTATGGAGCCTGCCCACTGCTTTAAACAGCAGAACAACTGGGAATACTAAATCTGTTTTTTACACTTGTTCATGGAATGCAATTAGCTGTTATTTCCATGTGATAAACTAGACTCCTGACAAATTTCTGAATATTGTTGGCACACTTCATCTATATTCATATCACAGATACAGCTTATTAGCATAACCATAAAAGTACATAGTATTCCAGTGCACAGGTGTACATTTTAAAGGAGTTATGATTTGTAAAGTGTAAGTTAAGAATATGATATCTTAGGAGAAATCTTCCACGGTGTTGTATTATCAAAATAGAAGCTCACATTGAATATTATTGGCAGATTAGTTGTTTTTATTGACCATATTTTTGAGTATTTTGATCTGGGAAATATATCTTTTGTTGCCTTGCAGTTAAATATTCTGTTAAATCTATTGTGAATAATGTGATTATTAATTTCCTATTGCTTTTTCATAAAGAATAAATGTAAAATTATTTCAGAAAAACAGTTTGTTTTAATGCCAATCTCTACTTACAAATAAATGTTCTGTTAGTATTTTGAAAATGTTTAACTTTTTTCTGCACTTTTGGAACCATTTTAAGGATTTGTTTCCTCAATTAAAACTTGAATTGATGTAATTAAAGCTAATTTTTTTTTCCTTCGTATGATTAGTTCAGCCTCTGACATGGAGTTTTGTGTCATAAGATGTTGCTTGAATCAGGAACCACTATTTGAAGTGCTACAGAAAGACTCAAAAGTACGATTAAACACACCTCAGAAGACATCACTTCACAATTTGTGTTAAAATTGTTTAAAATTGGAAGAGCATTTAGGTTCTCCATGCATTCTACTCTTTGAGCTGAGAATACGTGAGCAATGTTTTACTTGCATTTTTATAATAATTCAGTCACAAAAGCTTCAGCTAATCAAGTTTTCTATTGTAATATGCAGCCTCCTCAAACACATTAAAATGTTGATTGTTTAAGTGCCCAAAACAAGATTAAGCGCTGTTGTGTAACAGAGCTGATGAACTGTTTTGCTAAATGTAACACTTTTTGGTGCAAATATTTTAATTGTTTCTCTCATATCCAGTCCAATATGAAATAAAGAACAGCTGTCTAAATTTGCATTCATTGGGCATTATATAGTCTATTTCTCTCATCCACCTCATAAGTGCACTGGGTTGCATTTATTAATTCAGAAGAAAAAAACTGCATTTCAGTGAAGAGAAATAAAATGCAAAGTTAAAATTCGCATCAGACAAATTTTGTCTGGAGTACAATGAAAGTCATATCCAGTGTGGTTTCCATTTGGATCCTTCGATATTGGGTCTATAGTTGTGTAGCAGATTCCTCAGAATTTGTGCATGTACTTACATAAATGAAAAAAGATGATCATAGTTTGTGAATTTTCTTTGCAAGTGTCCAGGCTATGCTTGATGTAACTAGTGAGGAGTCATGTATTTATTGAGTGCTGTTATACTAAATAAAACAAAGTGCAATTTTGGAAACGAGTGCTTACTTCTGAAATATTTGGTGTATCATGCAACTGAAGCTGGCTCCCAAATATTATTTTTTCAGTTCTGATCCTTTGCAAATTCTGATGGATGTTGTTGGTTCTTAACCGCCCTCTGAAATAAGCCACTCATTTGGAACAAAATATGTAAACGTTTATATTGGGAATTAAAATCGATGACTACTGGCTTTGACATTAGACACTGGACGTAACAAAGGCTCAAGCATCCCAGTCAACCCTGCAAAGTCTTCCTCATTAACATTTGGCCACTTGTGCCAAAATTGGGAGTCGCATAGGCTAGTCTAATAGCAGCCTGACACTGTCATGCTCTCAGAATGTTACCTTTGCAGTCAATGTAATATTGTCCATGCCTTGCGTACTTCACTAGTTAATATATTAAAAATACTTTAACCTAAGTGCTTTTTGCAATGAGGCAGACAAAGGAATACAGAATTTGGTTTGTGGTTCAACTTTGTTTTATTAACCAGATATTTGTTATTAAAACACCATGTGAGCATTTCCCAAATTCCCACGATATTTACTCTCTACCTAGCTGTGTCTATCTGAGAGAGAATATTACCCGGGTCATTGGAATCCCCTATCTGTCCAAAGTAGGTGCAGGGCTGGATGAACACAGCAGGCCAAGCAGCGTTCATCCAGCCCTGCACCTTGTTGTCTCGGATTCTCCAGCATCTGCAGTTCCTACTATCTCTGTCCAAAGTAGGGTTGGCTTTCTCCTGTAAAGGTAGGTCTCGCAGAATAGATCTTCTCCTGGGTTGTGCACAGTCACCTGTCACGGGTCTTGCTGCATGTCTTCGTTTCCAGGTGTGTGCAGGTATTATTCCCCCTGGGCACCTGCCCCCCCCCCAACTGCACCTGAACCTTCCAGAATGTTCTGTGGCCTTTGGCCAAATAGGGTCATGATTTGGGTTCAAATCATCCAATGGGGCTGTCCAACACCCTTCACTGTTGCCATACTGGGAGGTATAAAGTGTACATGCTCAGGCAGTCAAGGGGCTAGAAAGTCTGATTGATACTTCTCCAATACACAACCGCTCAGGCTGATTGTAACATGTTCCCCTTGAACTTTTTGTAACCTCTTTGTCCATGGTTTTTACTGTTCTCTGTAGCCAGTAGCTGCTGGCTGCTGTTTAGTTTGGCCAGTTTTTTGGCAGGCCCAATTACAGTTCTCCAGCTGTGGGTCAATTTAGAATGGCCAATTTTGGACTGATGGTTGCTTGACCACGCCAGGTACTCGCATGACCTCAATAGGTACTCCAACCAGACATCACCATCCTATGATATGATCCTGTCCACCAGGAGGATGGACAGAGGTTGTACAATCAGGAGGGAGTAACCTCGGGATTTCTCACCCTTAACCCCAATTTAATGAAATTTACAATATCAGTGAAGTGTGCACAGCAAAATATTATTCTGGTTACTATGTGCTTCACCCCTCAGTTTGAATTAGGTTGTTTCCATATTGAACAGCATTTGGAAGAAGCACCAAGGGAAGCAAGCATGCATGGTCTACACTCCGTGAGGGAGTTCAATATCCATTACCAAGAGTGGCTCAGAAGCAACACCATTCTGTGAGCAGGTTGAGTCCTGGAGGACACAGCTGCTGGAGTGTGGTAGGAAAACCAAAGTGGGCCTCATCCTCAATAATCCACGAGTTGCAGATTCGTTGGAAATTTTTTTTGTGCATTCTGTTTCAAGATTTCAATTCCTAAAGTGAGGTGCTGAGAATTGGACACAGTGTTCTAGTTGATGCTCAAAGTGTTTCCTAAGGATTAATCATACCTTCCTAGTTTCTGTACTCTTTGCCTTTTATTTAAAAATCCAAGGATCTGATTTTTTTTTAGACAATTTTCTTAACCTGCCCTGCCACTTTCAACAAATTGTGCACAAATACTCCCCTGGTTTGTCTGTTCCTGCACTCCAATCAAGATGGTTAAGCTCTAAATGCCTTTTACATCTTCATGCTGGCTCTCTTTTTTTGCAGATTATCATTCCAAACTGCAGAGATTATTGATTTAGTTACTTGATCTCTTCTAGGTTACTCCACTCATCCCAGGTCAGAAATCGCACACCAGTTATAGGCAACAGGTTTATTTGAAGTCACAAGCTCTGAGCGCTGCTCCTTCAGCAGGTGAAGGTGACAAAGGCACAATGCTCTGAAAACCTGTGATTTCAAACAAACCTGTTGGACTATAACCTGGTGTCCTGTGACTTCTGATCTTGTCCACCCCAGTCAAATGCTGGCACCTCCACATCATGACACTCATCCCAGGAATTAGTCTGGTTAAACTATGTTGCATTCTCAGTAAGGCGAGTATGTTTTTTCTTCGGTAAGGAAACAAAGCTGTCTATATAGTCCTAGTGTAATCTCGTTAAAGACTTGAAGAATAATAGTAATTCTCCTCTACCCTTATTCCCTCATCCCTTTTTAGTAAAGATGAAATACCATTTTATTGCTTGCTGTATCCTCTGTTATGTCTTCCAGTCAATATGTCAGTATGCCTTTGAGAGACATGCTTGTGATATAATCAGTATATCATAATACGTGACCTAAAGATATAAAGATCTCGTATTCCATTTTACCTCCGATCATTTAAAGCATAACACTCTACCGTATGATTGCTCCTCTGTTGTATGAAAATAGCTTAATTTAGCCCAAACACTAATGTACTGAAGGAATGAAATGTTTGTACATAATAGTTAGTTACAATAAATGTCTGCTGGAGTCTTCAATGCTATGATATCTATGCCTAGTTTCTTGTGTTATTGGAGAGAACATAAGCATTGTCACATCAAGTAAAATACCCTGTTGGAGGCAAGCTGACACCATCTGCGTGTTAATTTTCTGTGATTGCTGTATACCTAGATCTCACTAATTAGCAACATTTCCCCTTTTGATACTTCTTCAAAGATATTTTTTTGACCAGTTGGATCACTTCACACACTTACATTACATTCCATCTGTTATGTTAAATAAAAACCAAAAGAACTGCGGATGCTGTAAATCAGGAACAAAAACAAAGTTGCTGGAAAAGCTCAGCAGGTCTGGCAGCATCTGTGGAGGAGAAAACAGAGTTAACG